TAACTTTTTTTAGGATTTTTTTGTGTTGTAGTATATATATCAGTTAAGACATAGATACAACTATGTTTTGTATTCTACCAAGGGCATGCAAATTGTGCTATTTAGTTATCTATAGCTAATGTTAAATATTAAAAAGGTTAAACATATAATAATTTCTCTAGGTTTTGGTAATTTAACACTTTCAGGACCCATTGTATAACCAAATTTAATCAACCTGTGGTTGGAGAGGATCTCAGAAGATGATTAGATGAGTCTACAGGTCATAACTAGAATAGGATTTTTGTTTATCAAAAATGAAAATAATTTGATAATCATTAGAGAAACAGATTTTTACATAGTTACTCTGGGATTATCAGATTTATCCAATCTCGATAGTAAAATTATCAATTTGTGCAAAGCGGTAGGCACTCGAATGGGATTTTCGTTTATCAAAATTGAAAATTAATTTGATAATCATAAGAGAAACAGATTTTTACATAGTTACTCGTGGATTATCATATTTGTCCAATTTCGATAGTTAAATCATCAATTTAAATATCCTCGCTGAGGCTCGGACTTTAAAATTAGATAATTTAACTATCTTGAATGGATAATTCCGATAATCCACTGGTACCAATGTAGGAATCTCTGAATATTGCATTTAATCTACGAATATTGCATTTCATCTATGAATATTGCATTTCGTCTATGAATATTTTGGCAAAATGTTATCAAATTTACGATTTTCTGCTGGATGTCGGTTCTTCACTCCAGGCATTCCATCTCCCCCTGTCAATATTAACTGACATAGCTTATAAATCTTAATCTTGCGTGAAACACAGACAATTAATATATTCATTGATTCAATTAATGAGATCCATTGAACGTAAAAAAAACAACAATTAATCAAACTAATCGAGATAATCCTCAAAGCCAATACACCAAACGAGCAAGAAAATATACTAAAACGAATTTCTTTTTGCTTATATTTCAGCTGAGGTCTTTCTTTTATTTGTTGGTGGTTACATGTGTTATCTGGTAAGAAAAGCACCTGGTTATTTTAATGAAAGTAGATACATTACATGGGCAGTGTATAATGGAATAATACTTGGCGGTTTTCTGTTGATTCTAACGTAAGTAAATCCGAAATCTTTTGACTAGTTCATTATGAAATGGTATAAGACAGTTATTAGTCTTGCGCGGAAACATACCATTTTTACGAGATGTCAGCCTCAGATTAAAAATCATTAATTTATGTTTTGAGATTGAGTGTTTCTCGTAAAAACTCAACAAAGATAACAGTCTTACTATTTAGTATGTGACCTACCGAATTAGACTATTTACCGGATTTGTAATAACATAAGCAACACGACGGGTGCCACATGTGGAGCAGGATCTGCTTACCCTTCCGGAGCACCTGGGATCACCCCTAGTTTTTGGTGGGGTTCGTGTTGCTTAGACTTTAGTTTTCTATGTTGTATCATCTGTACTATTATTCGTCTATTTGTCTTTTTATTTTTGGCTATGGCGTTGTCAGTTTGTTTTCGATCTATGAGTTTGAATGTCCCTCTGGTATCTTTCGTCCCTCTTTTAGTTTATTTGTACCGGCTTTATTTTTTTGAATTTATTTGCACTCTGTTCCCGTTATGTAATGTTGTCATTTTAGCGGTATATTAAACATTGCCATAAAGCGCGGAGTCTTGGCTAGCCACAAAACCAGGTTCAACCCACTATTTTTTTCTTAAAATGTCCTGTACCAAGTCAGGAATATGGCAGTTGTTATTTATTAGTTCGTTTCTCTGAATGTTGTATTGTTGTTTGTTTTTTGTTGCACTTCTGTGTTTTGTTATTTTGTTGTTTTCCTTGGTTTTAGTTTGTAACCCGGATTTGTTTTATGACTTTTGAACAGCTGTATACTACTGTTGCCTTTATTTATTCGTTTTCTTTACGTATTTGTCCTCTCTAGTGCTTACTATCACGCATGATACAAAGTACCTTCTTGCCGCGCAAATGTTAGAGAAATATTTTCATTTGTTTATATTATCCCATGTATGAAACATCAACCATATTTGACTTCGAAATCGCTATAAGATCAGGATGTAAATGCAAAATTCATATCATGACTTAAGATAACTTCGATTTGTCTCCCCTACTTCGGATTAATCGTATTGTAATATTTGCAGGTAGAAAAATTATTTATGTATTTATCCATTATACAATAGCACTGCCAAACGCTTATACAAATAATAATTGGTTCCAGTGTATTTTAGCTGATGTAAATTTTCGACATTGTAATAGTCAGTTTTATCATGGTTGACAATATTTTAGTCACAGAAATACCAGTCATTGAGATATGTATTGACCCTATCGCTGTCTTGTACCCGAACTTGTGCACGAATCGAGTCATATTTGCTTCATAAAACGTTTTTCAGTTTCTGGAGTATTTCATAATAATATACCTTTACCGTTAACTTGTTCAGATTGTCTCTGTTTTCATAATAACCTACTTTAAAATATTAACCTTTATGAATATATAAGCTTAAGATATTTGGCCTATTTTTACATGTACTACATTAAATAAATTTTGTTTGTATATACTGAAAAACTAATCAATTGACATTTTTCAGACATTTGATTGGTCATTCTTATGGACCAGACTTGCTGTACCTATTGCAAGGGCTGCAGATTCAAGCGTTCGTTACAATAACTTTGACGTTAATCTTTATTCCAAAGGTAAGATCTTAAAACCATGCAACGACATCTTATTGACCTACATCATTTTGACCTAAAAATACATGTCATTTTTGATAATAAAAAAAATTGTTTGTATCTATGAAAAAAAAAATTACGTATAAGACCAAATAGTTCAGTGATCAGCTATTCTCATTCAAGTGTATATGAATATGGTTATCTTGCCTTCTATTGTCCGGCAAATAAAAAAAACGCATGCTATGGAGGGGCGTCCTTTGCTTGTGCGGGATGTATAATGACGATACCATGTCTGCTCCAAATAAGGGCTTTCAACCCATGATCATAACGCGCAAAAGAGTCCATGAATTAACTATTTGATAGGGTTTGTTGCAAGTAAAAAAAAGTGGAAAGTCCATATAAAACGTAGTTTTCAATTGCAATCTTATTGGCATGTCCTTTAACTTCGATTTTACACAACCTACCTAGGTATAAGATGGACAATACCATGGTCGAGGATAACAGACGAACGGACACAGAACGGTCCAAAATTATTTAAGCTTCACGAGCTCTACCAAAAACTCAAGAGTTAACAGATGCCGCTCTATCAGAGGGGTGAAGACAAGCAGCTTGATTACCACTTCTTAATAGCTGTCTACTAGCGGTTACAGATATTAAAGTCAATTAAAAACTAATCAGAATTAACATGAAGCTATGATACATAGAGAATAATACATGGTAAAATATGTTTCACATGCTGTATTAGCCCGAGTAACCAATATCAGCAAGAGGTCCGAAGGCCCGAGCGCTAATATTAGTCGAGGGTGATGTAGCATGTAATACGGATTTCATTATGCATTAATCACTTTATCATATATTTAATCAGAGGATTTGAGGTTGAGGTTGAGGTTAAGGATTGATATAGCATCCAATATGGATTTGACATCACACAGTAGGCAGACCCAGGACCGACTTTTCAAGTTGAACTCTTTGATGAGTACTGCAACAGCACATTCTTTGCATTCAGTCTTTATAAAGACTGTGACAGTGTGTATGGTCCACCACTAAAAATGACAATATAAAAAAGTAAAACTTGATGTATTAAGCAGTATAAGTATTCAGTACTTCATTTTAACTTTCATGTGTGCTTCTTCTAAGCAATTACGGTTCATCTAGTGCTGTTGATGCCTATTTACTGTTCTTGTTTTGATTGAATTGATAGTTGAAATAAAAAGAATAAATGTGTTACATGTATTTTGTTAACTAAAGATCCATGCATATCACCGTAGATGAAATTGATCAGTATACATTAACATACAAATTTTTGTATGCATGGTGAAACATATCTGATAAAAGGATCTGCCATCAACAGCTACTTCTCAAAATTGCAATTTAAAAACATTGATTACGAGTTTATAATGTATAAATGATTTCATATTGCATATTTGCTTTGACTGACCCTTAAAAAACACAACATTTTCATGTCGGAAAAATCGAAATCTGTAAACAACTCTAAGAATCCCTACATCAGTATCTGGCCATTGTGGCAACACGATTAGTTGTTAATACTTAAGGTCTGAAAGCTCAACAGCGGAATATAAAAAAGTAGCTTTATGAGATGCCGATTTGTCTAGGTGCTGATTTGCCTTCATACCGAACTGTCTTTCTTAAGTGCCGACTTGTCCCGGCGTCGATTTGTCTCGGTGCCAAAGTGTCTAGAATTCGTCCATTTTATGTCGCAGTCCGCGGACAGAGGAAGTTAGAGGGAGAAAAACCCCATTTTTCTCGCTCTGAGATGATGAATTTTTGTTTGTTTTCTGGTTTTAAATAATACAAATACAATCAGAAAACCGAAGTTCAATATGAACAAATTTCAGGCATGGTTGAAGTTAATTCTGTTTTTTTCCCATTTTCAATGTTCGCGGACTGCGGCTCAAATCCCTTGTTGTCGCTTATTAAATGTGGTTATATTTCGTATGATCCCATGAAATACAGCAACTGGACGTCATGTGATCAAGTTTGACGTCATCCGATATATGATGTCACGCCCTGATAACATTACATTGGAGACCTATTGAAGGAAATGAACATCGGTGTTTTATTTAAAAGAGATGCGGTAATGAACAAACGAGTGCTTGTATAAATTGAACATATAGGCACATGTGTCACTCCGGCAGAAAAGGGTTATCATGTCCAACATTGGCGTCTGCTGAAATTTCAAGCGGATAACAACTGAGGAGTTTCGAAAACAGTCTCAAGATGTTCCTAAAGGGATGCGATACGAGGTATGCGATACTGGTTTAGCTATGCGATACAGAGAAGGTGATACATACTGGAGAAAAGAACCTTTATTAGATATAAAAAAAATCTGTATTTAGTACTAAATATATGATAGATACATCTATAACTGTACATACTATCCGATATAACTATTTTGTCTTGTTTTAGTTTTCAGCATTATACAAAAAGGAAGACATTAAGAAAGCTAACAATACGTTCAAAACAGAATACGACAGTAAATATCTGAAGACAAATACCATTGAAGCTACACCATTAATGTCAGTTGGGACGCAGACATATGAATGTTCAACATTAGATCAAAAGGTAATTGTATTCACCCAAAATTATAAAAATCAATCTCAGAAATGTTTATAACAGGTAATGGATACCTGTCCAGGTTTATTCAAATGAAAAATAAATATAAAAACTTAGAAGATAGTATGGGAACTGAACAAATCAAAACCATGGGAAAAGTAAAATCAACTGATAAACAAGACAAGACTACAAAAGTATACAAATAGCGAGTCTTTGAACGGAATGTACATAATAATATAATAATAAATATCAAGTTCGCACCTTTTCGATGTCGGGCCTGTATTTGTTAAATTTTAAAACACCAAAGGAATATCAAGCAAACGGTAAATCAGATTGAAAAATACGCGGAACAGTGCTAAATTCCTCGCCATAATCAGTTATTTGTTGATCAGTATGTAATAGGGAGTTATAAGATATATTTTTTATTCATAATGTCAGGTTTTTTTTATAATGTACAACGGTAGCAATCCCAATCTGTTTTATATCATACTGTAATATTCATTTAGTGAGCTCCTTTACTATAATTTCTGCTTTTGATGACATTTTCTGCTTAAAAAAAGGTTCAGTTTATCTTGCAAATACCAAGGTTTAAGTTTTGACGTTTTCTTTTTTTTTAGGGTACAGCGTTTTCGACGTCTGTTTCCATGTTGTCGTTAAACAGTCAGAACAGAGTTGAACCTATGGTTGATAATTTTATCATTCCCAAAATATGAAAACAACAAGAAATATTATCCGTCAAGTAAAATTAACAGATCCGCCTGATGTTGAAGAACAAAAACAAAATATTGTTTAATTCGCTTCTTTTATTTTACGTTAGTTGGTAATTTTTTATAAAGATTCTTCTTAAATATTTACTTTGCTACATACATAAATATACAAAACATGTACAGTTTGGCCTTGTGAATCACTGAAGGGACATATATTGTTGAAATGCGCAACTGGTGCAATGAAATTGATACCTTGAATGTTATAATAATAAACGATTCAAGGATCTCTAAAATAAAAAAAAATCGGCTAGTTAATTAAATTTGAACATGCACACATGTGATGGAATGTAAGACTTATAACTACTTAAAAGAGACGCATTTTCTAAAGCAAATGGTGAGATGTTTAAACGGGAGGATTTTTCATCTTTATGCAGGCATCGGTAAAATAATGTTACCAAATTTAAGCGTTCATTGAAATCGCAAGAAACAATTGTAACGAAGAATTTGTAAAATCAAGATCTGAAAATATATGGATGTATTTTGTAAGACACTGTTGATAGCTGGTTTATAATATGTTTCATTCTTTATTGAAGCATTATTTTTACCTTTACATGTATAATACCAAAGTTAAAAAATTTACAAGTATTGTTTGGTTTTGATAATTCGACTACATACATAGATTTCTCTATGTCATAGAAACAGAGTCATCCGAACATCTTCACTCCGATTGTATAGAACCCATGTTAAAGTGCCGTCCGTTTGGCCGTACGGGTTGTATACACACGCAGAAACGTTTGGTTTAGATAAGGGATTGAAATCAGAAGCCTTCTGTAGATGAAAAATAATGCTCTGCACGTTAAATAATTCTTGCAAAAAACTGCTTGATATGGCTTATAACAAGGGCACCTACTTTTTAAGTTGCAGTCTTAAGGTTCAGCACTTCATTGCGATCGACCCACTTTGCAGACCTTCCCACTTGGATTAATTGTAAATTTGTTTACGTTTGGAATTTTCGTAAAATATTGACCTATTTTCGTTAAATATAAACAAACAACAATCAATCTGTTATTTATCATATATAAATTTTCATTCACAACTTGAAATCCAGAAAAGCGCGTTGGACGCATAAAAATTATATAGTATTATTTTAAAACAGTTTTCGAAAGTTTGAGGGTGCAATAATGGTTGGGTGACCGTAATGGAATATCTGTGTAATAGATAACCACATATATGTTGCAATTGTCAAAACCAAGATCCCTAACTGTTATCATTGATTATGACGTCACCGAATCAGATTTATCACCCAATATATACTGCCAAGATTAACATAACTGTTACCACATGTGGAGCAGGATCTATTTAGCCTTCTGGAGCACTTGCGATTATACATGGGGTTGTTGGGGTTTGTTTTGTATGTTTTGTAGACTGCTATTTGTTTTGTCGACGTTTTTCGAGTTGTCTGATTTTTTTGCTTACAATTGTTTGGTTGTCCCTGTAGTATCGTCAATCTCTTTTTTTACTAATAATTGTGGTTTTTCATTAGCCACTAGAACATACCCGCGGGTTCGTGACTGAATTAAAGTACCTACGCTTTAATGTTAGCCTGGATTTTTAGTATTCGTATTGTCATCATATAAAGTCATGCTGATTATAAGGTATACAGTTTTCTCTGCTTTAAAAATCTTTCTGTTTCAACCCGTCCTGGTTTTCTTACTATAACCGGACACTACGTAAGAAATATACTATTGGAATCGGTATCGGATTAGACCCGGAACTTATAAATTATTGGTAATATTATTTATGTGGAAAACAAAAGGGCCTGTAATGTTGTAATTTTAATCAACACCATTGTCTTATATTAGTTATATATAAGTTGAATTCTTTGATTCGTCGTATTTACGTCATTTTGGCTAGCAAATTGGACCTCGTTATTTTAGTAGCATAGATGGAGACGACATAACTCCAGATTATGTCACCTTTTGACAGTAGTACATATTGCGATTTATAATAAAAGAAAAGAGTGTTGTTTATCTTTTTAAGTAGACGTGTTATAAGGAGTTTGTTTAATTATTATCCGATAAAATTATGGTTGGCTAATTATAATCAATTGGTTTTTTTTTTTTTTTATTTTTGAAAAATCAACAAATTTTTTTCTTGTTTTTCTTTGGTTGATATTCGTTTATGACGTCAATTGTATTCTAATTAACCTGGTTTTATGAATTCTCGTTAGAGATAAAACTTACAATGAAAACACTATATTTGGCTGATCAAAAGAAAAGAAAAAAGTTGAAATTCCATCCTTTGGTCTTAAAATCGAAAGTTTATTTTTAGATATTGAAAACCCTTGGCGTGCCTCCCTTTTTAAAATTTTACAGATTAACTTCATCGAGTGAGCGATATATGGTGAATCTTTTGTTTCATCAATAGAACTTATATTTTAAATAACACTAACGGTACAGGCACTTATTTTACTGAATCAGATGAGCATAACGACAATTCATGTCTCTTCAGTGATTACATATTTGAAAATCTAAAACCTAATACAAACGTTGAAGAGTTGGTATCCTCAATTAATTAGTTTTATAGTGATAACCTTTATCTAACAAAGTAGTAAAATTTAAATTTGTGTATTCTTAAAAAAGTTTCTTGACAAACAAGACATTGAATATACGAGTTAATGATTCTATTTACTTTCAATCATTTCTTGCAAATAATTTTGTTTGTTGCTTGATATCGGTTAGCGATTAAGATTAACTATCGATATCGGAAAACAAACAAAACATTAAAAAAATAAACAAAATTAGATACAACACTTCTTAATGTTTCATAAAGTCTTATCATAAAATTTAATTGAAATCCGCGTCATTTGAAATGGCAGACCATCGTAAGAATCCGAAGTCTTGACAATTTCTAAATCTAAATCTAGCAGATATCATTTAAAACCCGAATACACCTGAGAATCTGACTATGATTCGACCTATTTCTGTTCCGTTGTTTACCTCTTATAGTTGATGTGTTTCCCTCGGTTTAAGTTTGTTACCCGGATTTGTTTAAGCTTAATAAAAGTATGACTTTTGAACAGCGGTATACTACTGTTGCCTTTATTTAAGGTCAAGTTACAGTAATTGGGCTATGTCTCATATTTGGATATAATTTTGCATCCAACTTTGGCTCGTTGAATTTTAACTGAAAATCGAAAAAATAATGCATTTATTTTTTCTATTTTCTGTAATATTACTGATTGAATTCTTTCAAAATAGGTGAATATTTGTATAGAAAGCACATGAAATCGTCGAAAAGCGTTCTTAAACTTATCCTTCAATCCTCAAATTTCAAATCTATAGGCTTATCAGAATAATTGTAGTTCCAAAGCAGTGTCCACGTTAATGAAAATAAAGTTACCACTACGCAATACCAATGGCACGAGAGTTATATGTGCAGGAAAATAGTAATGTATTGCTAAACTAATTATTGATGCATACGAATTAGATTTTTTGAATTGTATTTAATAAATTGTTATATTGCTTGTACCAGTAAAATTGGAACAATCTTTGTGCAAAATGAATTTAATGCTAATATTTGCAATATTTTGATATTTCTTATTGGAAGTTAAAACAGTTGTCATTACACACGGTCTTCAACACTTGAAATATTTAGAATTACTAGTAATCGTTAAACAATGAAATTTAATTAACTATGCTGAAAATGTATTTACAAAAATACCGATCTCCAAGGCAAATTCAAAAAGATGGTACCCCACAAAACCTTCCAAATTCAAACGCTCGACTGTATCAACCAACGGAACGAATGGAAAACAACTGTCATATTCCTGACTTGGAACCAAAGAAAAGGGAGGGCAAACCTGGCCAAATAGCTAGCTTATCCTCCTTTGACAGTCGTCTATTGTTCCGTTCTATTAACAAAACCGGGTGAGTAACCCAAATAGACACAACTGGATAACGCGACAAGAATTGGAATCCAGCAGCCATAAACCTACATCACATACATACAACAAAACCGAGTTTAGACTGCAAACAAACACACTAACAAATCCAACAAACATGCCAACAAAAAAGTTCTTGTATTTGATAGTAAATACAGTTTAGTAAAACATAATGACATATACACTCTCCCGATAAAGCACACATTTAGTAAAATAAGAGTATACAAAATGAAAACAAAACTATAAAAACCTGATGGTCCGAACCGCACCAGAAAAACCTAAAACAAAAAAACAAAAAGCTGAATGTACAAATATCGAGCCACGCCAAGAGCCATATGACCAAAAGGAACATAATAGTACAAAGACAGCTTAAGAGAAAACTGTACAGTAAATAAAATGACACACAACGTCGGCACTTAGAATCTTATACTCAAGACCATCCTGTATTATTTGTGAGGTACATACTGAATTGATACTTTCTTGATGAACTTTTGAAATAATTGATGAGACGTTCTTTGACAAAATCCTGGCTCAATTATGTTATGCACAGTCTCCAATGACGTTTTACAAAGCATTAGAATCAGCTGCAAGCTTTTCAATATCGTATAAGTTCAAACATGTCTTGTCTTGTCAGGTTGACATTTTTTGGACCGACTATTATACTACCTATGCAGTTTGGTTCTCAATAACAAAGGTCACTGCTATCATCAATCAGTATTCCCTCGCATCCGAGAGTCCTCTCTTTGTGTTGAGGTTCGACTTAGATATAAATTTCCTTTTGAAAATAATGATATTTGAGTTTGAAATGATGATAAAAACATAGATAGGCATAACAAAGCAAGGACATATTTGGTGATTGTGATATTCTTGCATCACATGTCCGGATGAATGCCTAGCTAGATATAACTTGCCTTCTACGACACAGTGCCCAAATCATCTACAATTAAAAAAAAAACAATGCAAAATTGAAAAATTTCATATGATTTCAATTTGATTTTTTTTTAAATTATCTAATAAAATTCATTTAGTGGTCACAGTTATTTTGAATGAAAAGCGCAGGAGTATCCACCACCTCGACTGGTGTATTATGATAAACAGTTGGAACACGTTTTATATTTGCTCTTTAGTTTGTTGATTATTGACAATTTATTGTTCAGACATTGATGAAAACATTCTTAAGATTTGTTCCCTTAGACGTATATGGTATTCGCTAAATTTTGAAAACTTCTAATAAAGTAACTTAATAATTAGAAATGGTCAACTTAGCAGAGGGCGTCGAATGAAAATTTGATGGTTTTCATAAGGACTAAACAAGGCGGAACTTTGATTGTTCTGTGTTTACTTTTGGTAAAGTTTTTTTTTTCTTAAATCCTCCTTTACTTTCAACTCTAAAGCAGCAAAACAAGCATACAAGCGCTGATAAAAAAGCCTTTAAAATAAATGTTTTTGTTCGGTATTTAAATTTCATACTTTTGTCTACCGAAAATTTTTGTCGTGTTAGTATTTATCAAGAACATTTACTACCGTCAGACACTTAACCTAACATTTAACCTGTTTATAAAACTTTGCATTTTTCGAAAAACTAATGCTTTTCTACCCCCAGGAATAGATTACCTTAGCTGTATTTGACCAAACCTTTCGAAATTTTTGGTCCTCAATGCTCTTCAACTTCGTACTTTATTTGGCCTTTTTAACTTTTTTAATTCGAGCGTCACTGATGAGTTTTTAATAGACGAAACGCGTCTGGCGTACAAAATTTTATTTACCAATGCTTTAAACTAAAACGAAACCGATAAATAGATATAAGAAGATGTGGTATGAGTGCCAATGAGACAACTCTCCATCCAAATCACAATTTGTAAAAGTAAACCATTAAAGGTCAAAGTACGGCGTTTAGCCCCATCTGAGAAAGCTAAGTGTTTACAATTGGTAAGTTAAAAACTAAGCAGTCGAATCTTTCGAATGCTTCTTAAAATGTAATAAGGTCTTGGAGACAATGATTTCGAAATGTATGTCTTTTGTCTTTTTGTTGTGTATTTTTGAGCTTAATATCGATCGCATGAGTAAAGCTTTCCGACTGATTTTTCTACAGTTCGTTCTCATGTTGTGTTTGTATACTAATATTCCAAGTAAGGGAGGCTTGAGCGTTTAAAAATATGTCAAATACCGCAAAATTCTATATTTAACTGTCCCAACCCAGGAACTTGTAATTCAGTTTGTCATTTTTGGCTATTCGCCGTATTTGTTTTTGATCATAGTTAATAAACATACCCTTAGTCACTTGTTTTGAAATTTTTCACACTTTGTCATTCCGGGGTCTTTTATAAAAGCTTATTATTTGGTATGAGTTTTGTTAATTGTTGAATACCGTACGGTGACCTGCGATCGATCACATCTTTTTTTGTTTTTTTCTTTCAGGAAAATTTTCCAGTTTCCAGTGATATCAAATTTTTTGTTTTTCGTTAAGCATCTAACAATCAAGCAATCTTATTTGTTTTTATTTTTCATACGGTATCCTTGTTAGGGACTTTCAGTTGTTTCGTTTATTTCTTGTTCATAATTCACAGATTGTAAATCTCATGTAACTACTTCATAGAGTAATGTAGGATACTTTTTTTACTTACAAGTTGTCCATGTCCGTATTTGAATGAGTTTGTGTACCAATCGACTTAGTTGGGCAAATTTTCGCCTGTTGTGTAAAAGTTGTGTCCGTTTTCAAATATTTGCTGCTGTAAATTGGCTAAAAAGAAAAGTTAGTTTCTTTAAATTCTCTCTGTTGGCAAATTCAATACATAAAAAATACGAAAGGTTTAAATTCCTCGTCACGTTTAGCTTTAAAGATCCTTATTTTTCTTACTAGATCATTCGCAAGATCAAAAATTGCGCAAAAACTATTTGCCTTGAATTTTAAATCTCATTAGAACAATTAAATGATCGAAGTTTTTAAAACTCGCCAACGTATGTCGTTGATATATTGTAATGGTATAGGCTAGAAAAGGTTAATTGCGCAACAGGCATCCGTGAAAAGTTGCTTTACTGTATTTATATATCGTTCACAATGCAAATGTTTGTTTTGAGCTTTCCTGTTAATTTTACCAAACAAAATACACTACAAAAACAAGAAATCTAGTATCATTATTGCGTGAAATTAAGATATAAACAAAAGGGTCCCAAAGAGAACTTCTAATTTTTTCTAGTCCGTTTTGATAGTTTGGAATATAATTCACTGTACTAAATTCTGATTAACTATGGATAATCAAGAACCTTTGGAGCTGCTGTTTGAATTTCATAACTGTGTGTGGCCTTTGCTTGAATAAGGTCAATAGAGTTTGTTCTATTATTTTTGGTGCCATAAGGGAAACTCAAGGTATTGGAGCCTTTCTTTATATCTTCATTTCTGTACAATGCTATCAACTGCAAAAGACGGAAACGAAAAAAAAACTGAAAATATAAATTATGACCTGTATTGGGTTGCAAAAGCTCATGTGTAAAGGGAACAGTTAACAGTTAATGCATGTATACACGGTGGTAGATGTATTTTCGGGTTAAATATAATTGACTTACAAAGCCAGGCTATATTTTTATCCAAAGTGTTTCAAATTTAAAAAGATTTCGCAATTAGTAACAACTTAAAACTCTTAAACGTAACATACTATGTTTCATTTGAAGGTAGCTAACGCAATACTTAAATGTCTTTTCACTTTCATGAGGTCATTGTCCATGCAAATGTATGTTCTGATCAGCCATTTTCTGGTCATAAATGTTATATGTCTTTGAAGTTCTAAGGTCTTTATATATGGCCGTAGCCAGATTTGTAATAACTTTTTTGTTTTATTTTTTAATGTTTTTCGATGTTGTTATTGATTTGGTCTCTCAATAGTTTAATTTAGCGCCACTGATGTGCCGTATGTTGAAATATACTTCTGGCGAGATGAATTATATAATTATGTTAAAAACCTAGTATCTTTGATGATTTTACTCTCACGATCAAAGAGTCACCTTTTTCTAGGACCATTCAATTTTTTAAAGGAGGATTTAGACCTAACGAGTTAAAGTATCGAAATATGATCGAATTGTTTTACTTTTAAAGAAATGCCCTATATCAATTATTCATCTCCTTACATTGTTTTTTTTTACAGTTTGAAACGCTTAATTAGACCAGATCATGTACTGGGGTAATTGTTTAAGCATGAGCGAAATTGATGTTTTCTCTCTTACCCAACGGGTCCCTTTCTGATAATTAAAGAAATAAAAACATGTGTCGCTTAAAAAAACTAACAGAGCTACGTCGGATAGAGATCGACCTTATGCAAGTGCGCGTATACATGTACATGTATAAGACTTTGATTGATTTTGAAACATTCAAATACGGAATAATAGACGACTTTTGGTTTGTTTTGTAGGATTCTTATAGCAACTCAATTTTCAAACAGTTATTGATTTTCCGTAGAGATTTTTTCATCCCAAAATAGGATGTATTGGTAATCATTTGCATAAGGTCGATTTCTATCCGACGCAGCTCAATTATTACAAGGAGTGCACCACATTAACTTCAAATCTTGGATATGCACCTGCTTTGTTCAACTGATTATACAATATTTCGAAGTGACTTCCAATACTCGTTTAAGAAACTATTGGCATTAACAGTGTAATTTATAAAATTTGACATTGCATGCATATATTTGGATGTAATGAAAGCAATGTGCCTATTGTCTACTATTTCTTCTAAACGAGTTATTTAAACTCCAAAAACATTGGTAACATAATTCCTTTTTGTATAATACGATATGAAGCCGTGATTTATCGAAGTGACTAATTCGCATGTTGAAACTCATATGAATAGTATCAGATCTGGGATATAAATTAATTTGAAATGTTGGTTTACATAAAGAAACGAACGGCATCCAGATATTAATATATGGTCTTCACAAATATAGAGACCAAATTGTTTTAGAGTAGATAACTTTGGGATTTAACAAAAGAAAATCACTCATTAAATATTTTATTCGACGGACTCATGAACAACAATATTTCAGCACCAAAACAAATATTTGTTCATAACTGTATTCACATTTTATAATTATTGGAGGTCTATAGGGGAAAACTATACCCAAATGACAGAGATCAAAACACAGGTACAAGTAAAGATATGATAATTAAATGAATGCTCGAAATAACTAAAAGAAATTCGGAAGTACTTGATATATGGTGATATAAAATCATGTCGTCTTTCACTTAAAATATTACGGCTCCACTTTATATGATTTCATACAGTAATATCATGCCATCAGTAGAGCAGGAAAAGAAAATCTTTTGCAATACCCAAAGTTAACATGACGAAAAGTTAGAAAAAAATAATGAAAGAGAATATTAGTCTTGCTTACCTTAGGAACGTAAATCAACGTCAGAGTTATAGTAGCAAAAACTTGAATCTGTAGACACTCGAACAGGTACAGCATATCTGGTCCATGGGAATGGCCAATTACATGTCTGAAAAACATACTTTGACGTTATGTATATAAATCTTTACAAAAAGGAACATTAACACATATATTAATTAAAAACGATATGGGCTATACGTAAAATATCCCGGTTTTAGAAACAAGAACAAGGTAAGTAATGTTTTTTTCATGTGCGCAAACTCAGACCATTTGCTTTAGGCAATTAGAGTCTATATAAGGACATTTATGTTACCGAATGACTCGGGATTTAAAATTAGTTTACAATGAAAATTTGCAATGGTTGAGTGATGTTTTTTATATATCTATGTGTCTTTAAAATATCGAAAGGGTACGACATTATTACTTAAAGAAGCCCATTCACCCATAATGAACAGGAGCTTTGCATCTGGTATGCAGCTAGATCTGTAAGGGTGAGATGTAGATTTTTGTGACGTATTTTCTGAAACATTTTAAAAAATCACCTTATCCATCCCCGGGTTTATAAAAAAAAAGGTCATGGTCCTTACAAACAACGTTGTATAGCTGGGTCTTCCAAGTGCTCCACGAAACTTCTTTCTAAATTATTAACATCAATTTTATCAGCAATTAAAGCCACACTTCAAAGTTATTGTAAAGCTATCTATTCTAGAGGAGGCGTGATCAGATGTGGATACTAAAAAATTCCAAAGATCTGTTAGAGTACATACAATCTTAGATTCTTACATCTTACAATAGTATTGAAATATTTGACTTTTGTACACTTTACACAAGTTTTCCCCATTCTAACTAAGAACAAATTAAAAGAGTGGGTCATAAAACAAAATTGGCAACGTAGATACAAGCATCTTGTCTCATGGAGGGATAAATCGTACATTGTAAAAAAATCACTCTGATTCACACAAAAATTCTCTGAAACATTATATAGATGCTTGATTTCTTGATTAACCACATATGTTTTTACGTTTGAAGGACGTTTTTTTCAACAAACAAATGCCATTTCCATGGGAACAAACTGTGCTCCTCTTCTTGTCGACTTGTTCCTTTATTCATATGAGGCTGACTTCATACAGGAGCTTTTGAGGAAGAATGACAAGAAACTAGCATCATCCTTTTAATTCACTTTCCACATTATAGATGATGTCGTCTCACTAAATAGTTTAAAGTTTGGTGACTGACTTTTGAAAATCTCTATCCCATCAAACTTGAAATAAAGGATGCAACAGATAAAGTTATGTCTGCCTCATATCTTGATTAACATCTATAAATTGACAATGAGGTTCGGTTGAGAGAAAAACTTTACGAAAAAAGAGATGATTTCAGCTTCCCAATTGTGAACTTTCCATTTCTATGTAGCAACATTCCAGCAGCGCCTGCATATGGAGTATATATATATTAATCCCGGTTGATACGATATTCCAGGTCAGAGTTTGTTTTTCCTATCATGATAGAGGGTTGCTGCTCACAAGGGAGCTATTAAATCAAGTGTTCCAAGTGGTGAAGTTGAAATCATTACTACGAAAAACAATACCGTCCTCCTTTTCCCCGAATGTGATCTATCGAATTCGACTTAGCACAGGGTTTGTACTTACATGAGCAACACGCAGTGTGCCGCATGTGGATCAGGATCTTCCTACCCTTCCGGTGCACCTGAGATCACCTCCGTTTTTGGTGGGGTTTGTGCTGCTCAGTCTTTACTTCTGTATGTTGTGTATTGTATATTGTTGTTTGTCTTTTGTTCTTTTTCTTTTTTTGCCATAGCGGTGTTAGTTTGTTTTCGACTTATACGATTGAATGTCATTTGGTATCTTTTGCCTCTCTTTTTCTATAAAGTATGATTCCTTCAGAATTGTCAATGCGATCTTATCTTGTGATCACATACTCACATTGAATAAACAAGAAATGAAAACTTAATTTCCTTGTCCGATATTTATTTTCGATTGTATCATAGGTAATTTGATATCCATTTTTCCTTGATAGTTAATTAATAGTAATAGGGGGCTCTGCAATTGGACGACAAGCTTCCGCCATTATGTTATTGTTACCATTGTGTTGTGTCCACTTACGTCAGAATCAAGAGAAAACTTCCAAGCAGGATACCATTATAAACTGACCATGTAATGTATTTACTTTCATTAAAATGTCCAGGTGCTTTTCTCACAACATAACACATATACACACCAAGCAAGAGCAATAACGCTTCAACTGAAAAAAAGAACTAGAATGCATTTCTAAATCATGTAAGCCTCAAACGCATAGATTTTTAAACACAACTGGAAACAACTGTAAATTATGTTTTAGGGGATGGGATGTTGGTGGATTTTAACTCATAAGTCGAAAATAGACTGACAAGGTCGTGAAAAAAACGAAAAACTATTAAGAGATATGTATATATAAGAAGATGTGGTATGAGTGCCAATGAGATAACTCTCCATCCAAGTCACATTTTTAAAAGTAAACCATTATAGGTCAAAGTACGGTCTTCAACACGGAGTCTTGGCTCACACCGCATAGCAGGCTATAAAGAGCCCCAAAAATTACTAGTGTAAAACCATTCAAACGGGAAAACCAACGGTATAATCAATATAAAAAACGAGAAGCGAGAAACACTTATGAACCACATCAACAAACGACAACTACTGAACATAAGATTCCTGACTTAGGACAGGTGCAAACAATTGCATATAACTGTATACAAAACACAACATAAAAACTACAGATTGAGGAACAAGAACCCCAGCAAGAAAGCAGAGGTAATCTCAGGTGCTCTTGAAAGGTAAGCAGATCCTTAATCTTTTCTATGATATAAAACGCTTTAAGGCTTAATTGCTTAGGTTTATATACAGGTAGCATTTATGAGAAGAAATGTATGTATATTGATAAAATGTATACTTTCGTCAAATAATTACATATGGCGTGATGTATAAATGATATCAAATATATAGAAAGAACATGACTATTCATAATTAAAGTTGTATTTTCTCATTTGCATTTTCCCTGACAAATAAGACTGTAAAATTCAGGACTTCCCTGGACAACTTAGGATTTATGTAACAGGTGATAAAGTTAGTTCAAAATTTAAAACAAACGGCTTTAAAGGGGTATACATATGGCGTTTCTTCACCCCAAATTAAAATAGATTTTTCTTAATTCTATATACTGTTTTACATGTCAATTTATCTGTTTATGTGTTAGATTTATTAACACCATTACATATAATTGAAGTCATAAAAATAAATAATTGTTTAAACGATATTTTCATGTCTTGTAAAAAATATGACAACTTCAAACGTATTTCCTTATCAAAAAACATTCAAATATTTTCGTTTTTTTTTCTTTATGTTGATGTGTCAATTTTCAGCAAATCATGGGATACATATTGACGTGTGAAAATTTTCAGCATGAGTGCATAGGATGAAAGTTTACCCATTTTTTCAAAATGTCCTAACTCAGGATATCTGAAGCTAAACGGCTTATTCTGTAAAAATTTGGTTCACAACATATTAAAAAAATCGGCAGCGTTTTGAAATATTTATTATAGCATCTTCAAAAGTCATATGAAAAAATAGTTGTAAAATCTTTTATATTATCAAAAGTTTCATAAATCTACTGCTATTGAATTATTGTCTTCTCGTACACTAATTAGCCAATATTTTCCCGAATGCAGTGACCTTAACTACGATACATCTCGTTAGAACTTCGGCCACCGCACAGCGCAAGTGCGAGGGGAAACCCTGATGAAAGAATGTAAACAAACGTGCACTGGAAGTTAAATAGTATTCAATGATTCTTAAAGAACAAATTTAATACAAAAAATTATTTAACAAATGTTTAGGAAAAGATTTATTAAAAAAACGGAACGCATGGTAAATATAAAAAAAATATCATGGACCTATCAATTCACTTATTTGTCACGTGCTCCACATTCTCTGTGTTGATTGTTTATATATGTCACAATCTGGTAAAATTCGGCAACAAACTCAAAAGTAACTTAAAAACTTTACTTGTAAAAAATTCATGTCTGTCATATTTGTTTTTCGTAAATTGTTTTGTTATAAATTAGGCTGTTAGTTTTTTTCAATTGAATTGTTTCATATTTTGCATGTCGTGGCTTTTTATAGCCGACCATACGGTATGAGTTTTTTGTTGAAGGCCGTACGGTTGCCTATAATTGCTTACATCCACTTCATTTGAACTTTTGTGGATAGTTGTCTCATTGGCAATTATACCACATCTCCTTATTTTTATATTAGCTTGCGAAGAAAAATCACAGAATGAAATATTATTAGTTGATAATATGATATACTTTCGTAATAGATATAAAAAAAAAACACGTGCATATAGTGCTTAGTTTAGAATACATGCATACATTGGTCCAATAATTTCGATAACATTGAAATTATAAGAAACTCGTTTCATATGACTTTAATAACAGATATGTGTTATTAAATACAATCATTGTAAATGTATTTCTTCTATTGAACATTATGTCCTGTTCTTGATCTGGAATTGTCAATATTCAGCCTGGAACGAGTGACAGACTAGAATAGGCTGCTTCAGAAAAGAAGTTTATGCATTATTTTAAAAGACGTACAATATAAAAAAAGGAGATATGGTAAGTTTGCTAACGATCCTCCAGAGTTCAAATAAAATTTTAGTAATTATAGGCAACCATTTGTTTGAAGAAAAAAACTGGCATGAAACATAACAAAAACCATAAATATGATTGATTACGTATTTTCAACAAACATTAGTTTTATATATATATATGTGGAGCTTATTTGATCTACAACGTCATATATTTTGACAGTTTTGAAGGGCTTTCAACCTTAGTTTGTCATCCGAAAGGACCCTTTGACTCTTTGACTCATTCTACTTAAGATTTGTATACAGTATCGGCCATAGATCACTTAATTCTTAAATACTTGTATCACTAACTTATTTTTTGTTCCATCTTAGTTGTAAAAACATACCACATCGAATAGCATAAACCAAATAGCTACTCAAACACACTTCATATTTCAAATGACTGGAAGTTTCCAAGATTTCCGTTTTGACTTTCTCTGATATGGTCCAAATAAGAAGAAACATAGCAATTATGAAAATAAGTGGAAAAAATCTCTTCAACAGTTCTTTATCTGGAAGATAAACTCTTTGTAGTGTGTTTGCCGATTTAAAAATGATAGCTATTCTGAAAAAAGAAAAAAAATATATTCTCAGTCAGGCGCCTTTAATTTTGTGGTTTTTGTTGGTTGCTGTCTTTTATATCTGTTTTTCGTTTATTGTTTTGACATAAATTGGGCCGTTGTTTTTTTCGTTTAAATTGTTTCACATTTTGTCATGTTGGTGGCTTTATAGAAAAGCTCCTCGAACGCATGAAACTATCTAACGTGTTGTTTTCATTTTTTACACCTCTGCTGGTGGACTATCAATCCCCGAGAGTATCAACAGCTCAGTAGTCAGTACTTCGGTACTGACATGAGTTATAACAAATCTTTCTAAAATTGCCGGTATAAATTTTGAAATTATAAAGAAACTAGTTTTCAACTCCTTCAGGCAAAGTTGACCTTAGATGGATTTGACTATTTTTTTATGTATTTTTTGTCATAAAGCTCTTCAACTGTTTCGGTACTTATAAATCCTCGGCTTCCAAATATTCGGCGTTGAGCCTTCCTGATGAAGGTTAATCCAGAAAAGCGCTTCGGACGCATGAAACTATGTAACGTGTTGTTTTCAATTTTTTGTAGCTGAATATACGATATGGTTTTTCCTCATTTTTGAAAGCCATATTATGAAGACTCTGTTGGATAGTCGTTTCATTGGTAATCATACCATATGTCCTTATTTGAAACTAATAAACATTTGTTGCTCAGTTAAACAATTTTATAATACATTACATGTTTAGCAATAACTAAATTTCTTTTCTTCAGTGTATTTTTAACTTGTACTGCTTTTCGGTAAGTCATTATAAAACTAGGAACATGTGGTATTCTTGCCAATGATGCAGATATCATTCAAAGAGAAAATGAATAACCTGTTTTTCATGAGACATAGAAACAGACTTGGATACTTTTTTTATTCTGCTTGTGCCAATTGTACAAAAAATAAACAGTAATTAAGGAACTATTTTTTCCTTCATCAAAAACGTTTTTGAAACATTTAAAAGCAAAAATATTTTTTACTTAATTCAGAGTTCTGAAGAAAAAAAACTGCCTTAGTAGACAAACCAAGTACCGATTCCTGGCTTTAAAGTCATGAATCAATCAACTATTAGTGTTCAAAAACAGATGTAAAGTCCATATGTACACCAATTTCAAAACCGAGATGTCCGTGTAGCTTTTTTTATGTGCATTTATTTATTATTGAAAAATATAACCGTTTGAATAAAGAATTCACTTCCTTAAATTATTACGTTAGATAGATTGATCGATAAACACTTACTGTTAAAAATATTGAGCACGATAATAGGTTATGACCATTGAATCTGCTATATACTAGACCTATATGATATCGAATGTGTAACAACCTACCAGACCAAATCGAGAATCAGAAATCTCTCAAAGTCGAGGTTACTAGGCTGTTATATATTTTATATTAACAAGTAAGTAATACATGCCTCCATGTCTTTGCCACTAGTGCGCCATACATCAGACTGAAACCTATATGAAATACCCAGGTCTGTGATGCACATAGAAATTCTGAAGGCTTTGGATATGCCAAAAATCCCTATAATTTATTTTATAAATCATTATATATGTCACAAATGCAAGGATGAATTATTTTTGCTTTTCTGATTGTACGGTGGTTGAATAATAAAATGTTATTTCAAGTCAATAAAACAAATTATAACATCATATACCACAAACAAATTCGTTCTGTCAATATAATGGATTTGTCTCAAATGATTTGGATTTACGTATCCAAGTTCTTTTGTTTCCTTGAACTTGCCTGTTTCGGGTTAAGGTTTTTTTAATATCTGAGAACTCTTTCCCTATCGTTTAAATAAATTCATCGATCTATCTCTCAATCTGTGGATTTATTATTATTTGTGGGACCCGATTTTCGTTGATTTTGTGGGCATAAATAAACCAAGAATTTAAATGTCCAAAGAGGTAAATTTTATCTGTTTAAATACAAACGTTTTAGACCCTAAGAATAAAAATGATTCCACAGTATCTAATAAAACAAAATATCTATATATTGGGATGATAAGTTGAAAAGAAAGTGTTGTACAGTCGTAACCTATTGAAAAACACGATGTAATATCTTAGCGTTTCCGTTATATAAATCAAAGTTACAGATTCAGTTCAGGAATAACTCCACATTCTATGTTTTTGTTAATGTTTACGAGTTACAACAACGGAAAGAATCAAAAAAGATTTTAACGATAATTATTAAGTTGAATTTGTTAAAAACTCAACTAGTGAGGACTCCATGTTTAAGGCATTGTCTATTTACCACTCCGATCTAAATTATATAATGGGTACTGACCATTATGTAACATTTAAGTTGGAAGTAAGTTTTTATGGTTTTGACCGAATGGATTTTTTTTTATATTTGTGTGACTTTGAATTATATTAACCTTTGCGATCTTTAAAAAAAACGTTGAATTGTTCAAAATATAAAGGATTGTTCTACCCCGTTGTAGAATTAATTAGGCCTCTCGTTCTTTTTTACCTTTGAGCGTCACTGGTGAGTCTTTTGTAGACGAAACGCGCATCTGGCGTACAAATTATAAGCTTTTTTTAGAATCAATGATTAATGACTAAAATACCAATAATTGTTCAACTTCATAATGGCTACTGTTGCAGAATTTTAGAAACAAGACATTTCGAAAGGATAAACACAAAACTAAAAAAAAAAGTAATGTACTAATTAATTTTAAACAAAGTCTCACCTTACAAAAGTTAGATTAAAAAAGAAAACTAGATGTTAAAAGGTTTGCAATTAGTTAGAAATAAAACTCTTCAAATTAATAATCCTACCATGGTACACACAAGTAAACCTCCAGCACACATAAGCAACAGGAAAATAGGACTTCCAGCCTTTATTACCTAATAAAGAATATTGATACAAAATATTTCAAATAATTGTTTCAAAACATTTCTATTAATTATAAATAAGAAAATGTGGTATGAGTGACAATGAGACAACTATCCGTCCAAATCAAAATGTGAAAAAAGTAAACAATTATAGTACGGCCTTCAACACGGAGTCTTGGTTCACACAGAACAGCAAGCTATAAAGGGCCAAAAAAGACTAGTGTAAAACAATTCAAACAGGAAAACCAACGGTATAATCTATATAAAAAACGAGAAACGAGAAACACTTATGAACCACATCAACAAACGACAACCACTGGATAACAGGATCCTTACTTAGGATAGGTACATAAAAATGCATCGGGTTTAAACATTTTAACAGACGCCAACCTTTACCATATCCTGAAACAGTGGTATAACATTACAACATAAAAAGACACACAACAAAATATCAATTGAAATGGCTTAACTCGATCAAAAAGACAATACACAAAAACAAGTAAATATACACTGAACGAATAAGTTTGATCTATGACACAATATAAATAAAAAAGATGTGTCAATGTCAAAAAGACAACTTTAACCTAGGACAAAATGGCGTTAAATAAAGAAACGTGCACAGGTGAATCTAAATATAATATTTTTTTTGTTAGGAGTACAGAAACATATTTTTCAAAATAAATATGTTGTTCATAGTACTAGTACAGAAGTAAAATATTTTGGTCATACTAAATAATTATCAAAGGTGGATATCAAAAATAGTAAGACGAGATATAACACAAAATTAGAAAACTTTGAATAACAGAAATGCATTACAAATTGTATCAACAGGTCAAATTAACATGGAAGTACGATTTGAGAGTACTCGCAGTTACTGAAAGCTAGTTAAAAGCCAAAAACAAATGATAATATTAAATTTTCTTTGAGCAACACTTATGTCCATAATGTATACACTCAAACGAATGAATTTTACTATTTCAGCTTCAAAAGAAAGAATTTTTCAATATGCTTCTTCCGAAAATGAAAACAGTAACATCTATTCGTTTGAGTATAAACATTATGGACACAATTGATGCTCAAAGTACCATTCTGTAGGTTACAATTTCGATACTTAGTGTTTTTGCAATCGTTTGAAAGCAAACTCAACAGAAAATATGTTATATCTAAAACATATTGATAAAAACCAAAGAATAAACTGACATGATTGATTTACAGGGTGAAAAACTAAATCTAGATCTAAATTTGAGTAAGCAATGTCAACAAGGTTAGACCCCTCACGAGGTATTCTTCTGCCGTCTGGAAGAATTTCTTCATATGAATGATTTGATTGATTGGTTGAACAGAATTGCCAGTAAGTGTATGAACAAATGATTTGTTACTAACCACTTACGGTTATCATGCTTATTTTAAAACATGTTCTTAATATGAAAACTTTGACACTTCCTTCAAACCAAACTGTTTGTCTTTTTGTTGCCAATTTTATACGTACAATTGTATCAACACATTTAAACGTTTAACTATTAGAATATTAATCAAAAGGATATAATCATTACCGGTTTATCCCTAAAGTTAACTGTTATGGCAAACAACACTCCAATAGCAATAAATGTCAGGAGGGTAAGCAGTAAAAGCAGGAACCGATATAGAAACAGGTATTCGTAAAGGCATGGTGAGTCATCATCACATTCGGAACACCCCACTTTACAAGGTAGACAGGTATATAGAGTCGAATCGGAAGAATTTTCCATTTCTAAACCACTGAAAGCCTTAACTTGAGCGTTCAAATCTGGAAAGTAGTACCCTTTGCTGCAGACACACTCATAAGCACCTCTTTGAAACCCTCGTCCTTTTATAAACTTACACTAAAAGAATAAGATATGAGCATGTTAAATTAAATACAAATTTTACATTACTGCATTTATCAATATAAATAAATATTTTCTTTCCCTGGCTGTCAATACCTTTCACCAGCCTGATGTGAATTATTTAATTTTCAACATCATATGTTATTGTGAAAGCTAAATGGTCGCTTTTAATTAAGATTATGGATTTTTCAGGATCTCAGCCTTATTCTTGTATGAAGCATGATAAATACTGTGTCTGTATATCATCAAAATAGAGTTATTCTTTCCCTGGCTGTCAAAATATTTCACAATAAAGATAACAAAACGACATGATTATTTTAATGGATGTTTAACTATATAGATACGCTTACCATCCCAAGATCACCTACCCCCTTTCCCCATTTTTTTTTTTTTTTTACTTATTTTTTTTTTTTGTGGTATTGTTGTTGTTCAGTCTTTAATTCTCTTATGGTTGCTTTTTTGTATTTTGCCATGCCATTGTCAGTTCTTTTTTGACTAATGAGTTTGAATATCCCTCTGTTTTTTTCGCCTCTATTTTAAATGTTTTACTACTGTTTGTGTTATGTATACCCCTGAGGTCGTGTTATCACATTTCCACCATCATGTAATTGTTAAAGCTAAATGAACGAACGTTATTCCAGGAATTTATTCTAACATGACTCATGATCAATCCAGTTACGTTTAAAAATACCTCTGTTGTAGGAGGACACCTATGCGTTCCTCGAAATATGTCAATATCACTGTAAATGTGTGTTGAATCCTGGTCACACTGGTTAATGTCGATATTTGTTAACTGTATATCAACTGAAGCTATGCCTCTAGAATGATATAATGATAACATTAATTATACGAAATAATTCTCCAAAAGATTGACATTGGGAATGATGTAAGGCAACATAGACAAGACAAACGAAAAGAAAAAAAAATTAAAATGTGACAATTCATTCTGGGTAAAGCAAGCACAAATAAAAAAAAAATGTGTGCCAAAAGGAAAGAAAACAGCTGTGCTTACAACAAAGGTCGTACACTGGCGACAATGCTTTGAAGTTAGTAATCAATCAGAATTAAAGATACGCCTTACAAAGTTCATCTTTTACTGATCCTGCCATAAAATATTCTTACAGGGGTTAATTTTTTTGTACATTTACTGTACATAAAGTCATAAAAATCTTCGATTTATTTTCCTTGTCTTAACCTCAGTCTCAATTGGTCTTCTACCTCACATTTGTTTTGTTGATTTTTTTGTTTTTAAGGCTCTTCAACTTTGTTATTTGGCCATGTATCTGCTTTGAATACAGCGTTACAGGTGAGTCTTATGTAGACGAACCGTGCGTCGGACATGTCAAATTATAAGCCTGGTATCTTCGATGAGTTTTTTCAAAATCAGTTATTTTGATTTACTACAATTCTGATAAAGTGTTGAATCAATCTATATTCAGGTTAAGTACGATGTTCCTGCTCTTAGTATATATTAACATAAACGGTACCAATTTTGATGCACCAGATGCGCATTTCGACAAATAATGTCTGTTCTGTAATACTCGAGGCAAAAAATTATTGGAATATCCAAAATCTAATACAAATAATGAAAAGTGGATCAACCAAAAAGGACCTAAAGTATAAGTACATTCGGACAAGGAATCAGAGCTTGGCATGATTAGTAATTGCAAAGATATTTTGATATGGTAGTTGTGTATTGAAGTCTATATATAGCTATGATAGCGGTATAATAGAGTTAAGCGGTTGTAATGACCTATTTTGTGTATTGAACACATGTTTTTATCCCATTAGTCTACTTATATAGGCAAAATAGGTATGCTAAATACACATTTATGTCCCTTTTTGGACATTTAGCTCTCCAACTGTTTCAGTTCTTATACATCTGTTGCTTTCAAATTTTCGGCTTTAAGCGTTTCTGATGAAGGTTAATCCAGAAAATCCCAATAATGGTCATATTACTTGGGTTTGCTCACCAAGTTTTGTCAATTTAATTAGACTATAAACATCTGTCATACTAGTGGAAGGTATAGACAGCTATCAAACCAGGTTTAACCAATCATTTGTCAGTTTTAACGGACCCCAGACCCCTCCCCCCCCCCCCCCCCCCCCCCCCCCCCCCCCCCCCCCCCATTTTTGAACTTATCTTGGAGTTCGGTATTTTTGTTAATATTTTTTTTTTTGAGACACGAAATTTATAAAGTTGTTTTCATTTTTATCATATAGAACACTTACTGAAACTTGGGTCTTTCTGTTAAATCAAGTGACAATATAGGAGATGAAAATGTAACCATCCAAATGTCCCCTCCTCCACAATCAAAGTACGGTTTAGTCCAATGGCCGTCTTCTAACTTGGCTGTAAGAACAACTATTTCTTGTTCCGGTAAAGATATATCACCGGCACTAAAATGAAGCAACGGCATGTTTAATTGTCAACGGATACCAAAGAAGATTGAGTATCTCTTTGTTTTACTAGAAACTAAATGAACCGAAAGAATATAAAGATTCGTCAAGATTGCTTTTCAAACTTAATTCTACTTAAAAACTTTGAAATATGTTACCAAGGTACCACTTAAAATATTATTACAAGGAAAAAAGAGACGAATGATTCAAACTCGAAGGTGTAAAACGAACAGAAAATTCAAACTCAAAGGTGTAAAACGAACAGAAAATTCCATGGCAAAATACGAAAACGATCAAAAGTCAAACAACAGTATACAAAACATACTATAGAAACCAAAAGACTAAGCAATACGAATCCCACTAAAAACCGGGGGTGATCTCAGGTGCTCAATAGGTCAAGAATCCTGCTCCTCATGTACCACCAGTCGTGCTGCTAAGGTAAGTACGAACCCGGTAGTTATTGTAATTCGGTTGGTCATATTCGAGGAAAGAGGACGGGATTATGGTTCCAAAAATTGGAATATACTTCGTCATCTGTGAAACAGATATTCCATAACGGTCAACCAACGCGTAATGTCGTCCGTAAAATTTTCTAAGGGGTGATTTCAACTTTACCACTTAGAACTCTTGGTTTAATACCTTCCTTGTAAGCAGCAACCCTCTATTAAGGAAAAGCAAGCTCTGGAATATCGCATCAACTGGGATATATTTATTCAATCTGAAGGCGCTGCTGGAATGTTGCTTCATAGAAATGGATATTATTTCGTAGATTTTATTTTACGCTTCATCTCGTATAGTTTCTAACAATACCACAAAACAAATGACAAACATCAAAATGCAAGAGCTAACAATCATAAAAGGAGTCAACAGATGATTTTGGCCTTGCTGATTCATTTTAGATCTGGCTTTACTGATCAGTATTGCTATTTACATGATATGTACATGTATGACAAAAGTTTCTGGAAAAAAAAGAGAAAAAATCGTCATTAAAGGGCAATACTACTATAAAGAGTTGACTAATGATTTTAGCCATGTTGACTCATTTGTATAAATTATTTTGCATATCATTTTTGTTATTAACAATTCTCTGTGTCTCTTTAAATGAATGCCAAAAATACAAAAATGGGTAACTATCGTCAATCAAGGGCAATACATATCAGAAGGAGTTTACTTGAGATTTCGGCCATGTCAACTGATTTGTAGGTCTTATTCTGCAGATCATTTTTGCTCCTTCAGTTTCTGTCTATCTATCTATCTATCTAAGAAAATAGCTAAAATTGCACAACAAAATGGTAAAAGTCGTCATTTAATGGCAATAACTCCAATAAGGAGTCGCCTGACAATTTAGGTCGATGTTTACATTCTAAAAATCAGAATGTTTTTAAGAAACTAAGGTTCCAACTTTTAAGTTGACTTTGGAGGGAATTTTTGAATTGGTTATTTTTTATTTTGGATTTTGATTATACTGTTTCTACATATTTCTACATTCCTGGCCTTCAAATGTTTAGGTTTGAGCGTACCTAGTGAGGGTAAATCAGTAAATGCGCTTTTGATGCACAAAATTTTTAAAGCGTTATTTTAATTTGCACCTGTCAGATTTTTTTTTATATTAGTTTTGACGAATACATTTTGTACTCGCCATACACCTTGGGTTCTATTTCCAGCCTCAGCTGAAGAAAATATGTATATTACTTGAAACAAAGTTATTTATGATTCTTTACCTGTATTTTGTTTTGAAGACAGTTCTTGTTGCATTTTCCCAGTTCCTGATTTTTAAGTTAAAATACCACTCAGTTTTGTTGCCATGGTACTTATACGATAGAGCTATATCATGAGAAAACACAATCTCATTCTGACGGTAAGCGTAAGGTGCAAACGAAGAATAGTTTGAATATATCCCTGGTTCTATTGCTATGCAAGATCCAAACACGTTTTTCAGACTATTTACATTATTTCTTACTAGGGAGAAGAACATTTCATCAGTCAAGGAATCAAGTGAACCATTATTCTTCAGAATAACTGATGAGAGGAAGTTTGATGTAAGAATTGCAGGTTGGGTGTACTTTTCCCATGCTGTATGGTTGAAGGTCAGGTCCAATGTCTCCTCGGTACCACCAGTGCAAGGATTTTTTTCGATTCTACTAACATATTCAAGAGCTAGTTTGGCTGCTTCCTTGCCAGTATGTCCTGCTTTAAAATACAAATTATTAGTAGAACTTTTGGACATATAATTATCTATTTAATAAAAAAAGTAAAATGATGTCAATGGGAAGAAATGGCAAAAACACGTAAATCAACGACAAAAAAAAACGCAGCTAAATTGTTTAAATGGCAAAAAAAGTAAAGTGACAGTTGTGTCATTGTTCTTTATTTTCACAATACACCTTTTCTTAATTAGGCTGCTTTGACCGTATATCACAGACGTTCCTGTAAAATATTTACGTCACACAAGATATGTGATTGTCGTATGACGTCAATTGTTCAAATATCTGGTCAAGTGTTTCAAATAGCATTTAGGTTTTTTCTTCATAGTCTAGTGTTGAGCTTATGAGTTTTAGAGAAAATTCACAAAAGAAAGATATTCACCCTCTGGAATAAAGCGAAAATTGGAAAGCAGATGCGTGGTATAGCATTCGATATTCGCCAAAAAAATTCTTTCAAGATCACAGTTTTTATGTCCTTCAATATCCTAGAATCATTACCTCTTTAGCATATATGCCACGTTCTTATTTTTCCTATATTCACCAGAAACGTATTTTTGAAAGGTGTAATAATACATTTACAATGATAGATGAACTTAAATGTTCGTTCTATTTTAAGTTTCCTAGATATGAAATTCTGTCTTCCATTTCTAACATGTTGCTTTATGTTAATGACATGTATATTTCTGGGGTTATTTTAATACATCTATTTCAAAGTTTTCTTTCTTTTTTGTGGACGAGGTCGTTTAGAGCTTATATGGTCTTCTTTTGAAAAATTACATATGTTCTTACCCAAAGATAAAATCTGAGCTGTCTGAATAGTTTCGTGTTTATTTATTAGGCGGAAATCGAAATAGATTGATGGTAGAAAAAGATATACTTGTCATTTTTGTTTATCGTATATTGTTTTGTCATAACTTTTCGTATGAATTGTTTCACATTTTTTCATGGCGTGGCTGTTTATATCTGATATACGGTATGGGTTTTGTTCATTGTTGAAGTCCCGCGTATGGTGATCTTTTGTTGCTTACATAACGGTCATTTTGTACTAAGGTGGGTAGTTATTTTGTTGGCAATCTACCAAGTCTCCTTATTTTTATATGCATACACATTAAAATTCAGATAGTGGGCGGAATATTTTACGGATACCATGCAACCCCTTATATCTGAATTTACCAGTGCATATAATCTGTGTAATACCCAAACTTGTACAGTTGAAATAACTCGACTTCATCTGTATCAATAATCTCTTCTTCTTACTTCAGATCAAACACTTTATACATAGCTATGCGAATATGCTTCGTACTTAATTTGACCTTGTTGACTTTTTGACTCGAGCGCCACTGATGAGCCTTTTGGAAACGTCTGGAGTACATTTTAATCCTGGTATCTATGATAAGTTTATTTACCTTTAAAAAGTCTCGGCGACAGAGGATTCGACAGAATCATAATATACATTTATTTACTTTTCAAATTTTGATGATTTTTTTTTACTTTAATGAAGTCTTCGACTAAGATATATATCATAAATATTGTCAGTCATGAGCGCTGTTAAGTATTTTAACTTATGGTGTATATATGATATATTTGGGATAATATTGACAAAATTCTTAATTTGCATCATTGATGATAAAATTTCCGGTTTCCGGATTTCGGATATTTTATGATAAAATTTTTTTTTTTTCAATCCAATCTGGTTATGACATTTTGTCTGTTTCCGTAAATGATTATATTTGTTATCTATAAAATACAGTTGTATGACAAATTTTCCGGTTTCCATTTTTTTAAAGATTTTATGATTAAACCAAAATACTAATGGATAATCATGACGTTTTGTCAGTTTTCTCATACAATCATGTCTGTGAACAAATAGAGTTATATTGTAATAAAAGCTGTTGCTTTATCGATAACATAAACATAGAAATGTTCCAGTTTTGGTTGATTCTTTATGTACGTTTTAATGATGAAATATGATAAGAAGGTCACCAGGCAAAAAACAAACATTAATCTAAATGTTTACTGTCTCGGAATTACAGACATTAAGTTGAATGACAGACAGAAACGATCTTTTCGTTCCGATATTGATAGTTTTTACTAACCAAAGTTGGCCTTCCTTTCCTTCCAGTGTTTTACTGGTCCCTTTTTGGAAAACTGAAAATCTTCCGTCACGAGGGACATAAGGTACACCAGTATCATTTTCATACAAATTTCTTGTAAATAGTTACCAAAGGTACCAGGCTTATAATTTTATACGCCGGACGAGCGTTTCGTCTACATAAGACTCATCAGTGACGCTCAGATCAAAAAAGTTTGAAAGCCAAAACAAGTACAAATTTGAAGAGCATTGAGGACCAAAAATCCAAAAAGTTGTGCCAAATACGGCTAAGGTAATCTATGCCTGGGATAAGAAAATCCTTAGTATTTCGAATAATTCATACTTTTGCAAACACTAAATTTACAAAAATGACCATATAATAACTATGGCTGTTTTAAATGTCGAAGCACTGTACGAAAATATGTATTTATACTCTAAGAATGAATCTAGCTAGGAAATGAATATCTTTCGAGAATCAACTTCTAATATACTTCTGTCTCTTTACGCCCTCTTAAAACATGTCTTCAGCTTGCCGTACAAGGACCAGTTCACAAAATATAGTTTCAGAATCAAAAACGGTTTGTGAAAACTAAAAAATGTTCCAAAATATTATTGAAAATATCCGTTTTTTATTTTATTTTCAGACGTTGAATAATCTAATAGCCTTACCTGCATTGTTATCACAAATTTGCCAAAATAACATTAAAATAATCAGTAAGACCATTCTAACTGTGTACTGATCATAAATGGGGATATTTTATTATATTGAGTATTCTTGGTATTGCACAAAATGTTTTCTTCCGGTAATGTTTACATAGAATAATTATGAAGTTGATGTATGAAATCTACTCGGAAGTCGGCTGTTGATTTTAAAAAGTAGTTTCCGATAATATCATTGAATCAGATACGTTTAACTCTATTGCGTAACTTGAAATTGTATTGTTGATTTGTACGTATCATCAAAGTATGTCTCATATCGCCCTTTATTCAAACCCAAAGGATTGATAAGGGCATATACATGTACATATTGTCATCCATTTAATTCTCGTGTTCAACGTAAACTCTTTCTGAAGTCGGTGGGCCGTTTTGATGTGTGGTATGTATACATACACAGCCTCGTCAGTCAAAAATGGAGGAAATTTAATTCGATGCCTCATGAAGTGAGTGTCATGATCACTTTACATTGAAGAACCATTGGAACAACTTTTTTGAGGGGTCTGTAGGTGGTCTGTTGCAAGGCAAAATGTCTCCCCCTTTCCAATTGACCATTGTTTTCTATTAGCAGTAATGAAAATACCCCACACTTCATCCCTGTCGTTCCATCTTGTTGAACCTACCTATTATAATAATTGTTAATATTCTCGCGTCCTGAATATTCATTAATAAATTTTTAGTAGGCGTCACTAGTGAACGAATTTCGATCTGAAACTGTCATTTTGATCTTAACATAATCTGAAAAAGCTTAACAATAATTTGTTAAGTCATTTTCATTTTTTCTGTTAATTTTCAGATATATTGACTGCGGTAAATAAACTCATCATAGATGCTAAGATTATTTTTTTTAACACCAGACGCGCGTTTCGTCTTTAAAAGACTCATAAGTAACGCTCGAATCAAAAAGGTTAAAAAGGCCAAATAAAATACGAAGTAATTCAGTACTGTTCTGACAATTTGCTTGCAATCAATTCAGTAATGACCACTGATCGGTAGTTTTACTGTCGCAAATACCCGTTTACCTGTCTCCGCTACGCGTCGCCAGGTAAACTAAATTAAACAGTAAAACTACCGATGGACGTCCGCAAAGCTTCAAATACAATACAGTTATCTCTTAAATAGACTGCAAGCGAATTTTCTGGACAGTGCTGTGTTTAAGATAAATGAGTCTTCGTTTCTGGGGTAAGCTTATATTAAAGTATATGTCAGAACTTGCTTTAAAATACTTAAAGCTGCTTGACATTTACCTGTCTGTATAAAAAACAATTTTTTTCAGTCAATTTATGAAGAGGATTGGTAGTAATTTTCCAAAATGAAAAATAAACTTGATATAATAGGAACACAAACCAAGAAAGTACTTTACTTCCTTGAAATTTTAGGAATGGGTTATTCTATGACTGCTTTTGTCTTTTTGTGGTCATTGGCAACGCCATCTTTACTGACCACGTGTCCTAAAATGTTACGATCTTGAAAAATCTGTATTTTTGGTGGGTTTTATCTTAAATTAGTGGGAAATCTAGTGACAAAATATTACCTCCTCTGTAAACATTCAAAACTAGATCGTCTCAATGTTTGACCATTTTTGCAAGGACGCTATCAATTATGGATTCACGGAAAAACGTTCTGGTAAATAGTAAAAGTAGAAATAAATTGAAATAAAAACAAAACTTCCACTCAATGTTATCAGTTTCCGCCTTCGTAGCAAACGACGAATGGAGCAGGCTAAAGATGTTTGGAGTAAAATTGGTTTAAAATGTTGCTATGCGAATAAATTTCTGGGGTACCAACTTCAATTTATTTATTTTTTACTGACTGTATACCGCTCTGGAACATGCTAATTATTCGTATATATATACAGCTAGATCAGAGAAAGTCAGGAAAAAAATTTCAAAGGAATCGATTGATATGCAGCAAAAATTGGCACTTTTGAAATTAAGTTACTAAGCAAAATCAAACAGACCTTATCTCGATTTAAACATTGAATGTGAATAGATCGAGAAGACCTAAATATTCGATTTTGTATGTTTATGATTTTTTCCAATTTTTTTTATCATTTTGCAGCAAAGATTGGCAGTTTTTGAATTTTAGTTTCACAAGCTTTTAAAGCAATTATCTCGATAAATAATGAACATAAAACATCGTGTATTTGCATGTATATTTCTATTAACACAGTTTAATAAATAACTTCTTTAAAATGTACAATTATTATTTAGAAATAACTTTTG